TGAAAGTCTCAGCTCCCCACTGGGCTTTCTCTGCCACCAGCCCAGCAGGGACCCAGGGCAGGCCTCATTACAGCCAAGCAACAGAGGAAGTCTAGGCTCTCCAACTGGCCTTTGCTGACACAGAGTGGGGTTGGGGCCATGTTTTTTTCCACGGTGTTTGGGTAGAGTAGGGCAATTACTGTGTAAAAGTTCTTTGCCTTTCTAGGTTGGCTCTTTCCTGGTCCTTTGGCTTGCGAGAGCAGGCTTTTCTTGTCTGCTCCCATTGGTGTTTCTGGGTTGCTGGTTTCAGCAGCACCCAGTCTGAGATATATGAGGCAAAGGAAAACCCAGAGAACCCACTGTTGTGTTATTACTTGAGTCCCGAGGTCCTTAGCCAATCTGCCTTCTCTTCATTTTTCAGAGTTGTCCTATGTTTATTTTATGTATATCCAAGGTTTTTAGCTGTACTTAGTGGGAAGAATAGGGAGAAGTGTGTCTACTCCATCTTGTTCCTCCTACTTTGTTTTGAATAGTGAATTTTCTGAAAATGTAGTCCTGGAAAGTGGCTTAGTTTGCACTTAGTTTGTAAAATGGAAGCAGTTTTAAGTATTGCTTACCACATGTGAACCTTTATAACACTCCTTTTGAGTTCAGGCAAACCACTAAGGATGTGTTCAGTAGTCACTTCCCCCACCTCCGACCACAGTATCTAGTAACGGTATCAGAGTAAAGGAGTCACCAAACTGCTGGAAGTTGGAAGGCCAGATACCTTAAATCAAGACAAAAGTAAAATCAAAGTTTTAAAAATCTCTAAACTTTTTAAGTTACACAAAAATATCTGTTGGCTAAAATTTTGCAATGATAGTTATAATACTGTAATTCTTTCTCTCAGCTAAATTTTTAATAGTGGTCTTTACATGAGCAAATATAGGGCCCATCAGATACTAAATTCAGTGTCAGCTAGGACTAGGAATTAGTCTTATCTTTTAATCTAATCTATTAACTCTTGCACTCAACAAGAGCAACTTTATCATAACGTCATAATTCTTGATGTCTATGGAAATGTGATGATCTTGAAGTACCATCAATAAAGGAGATGTTTCACAGTGGTTGTGATTAATTTGTGCTGATCTTGATAGCACCATGCTCTTGTAGCCAAAATTTACATTTGCAAGATGGTAGAATTTGAGAGATGGCTTATTGGTATAATCAGGAGAATGGCAAAGAAATAAGCTAACTGGGCTATATAAAAACTAAATCAATGGAGACCACACAAACTGGGATATAAACTAGCAAAAACTGCATTAAATGTATTATATTAAAGAGCACATTATTTTCTTCCCAATTGGATGGCAATGGTCAAACAATCTGGTATTATTCTTCTTTCTGCTTCCCTATATTAAATAGTGGAATCTACATGAGTATCTTTTGGAGAAGACATCTAACTTCCTAGTTTCATAAGGTGAATGGTTTAGATCACAGGTAAGAGATAATTTTTATGCCGATACAGCAATGAAAGAGAAATTAAATGATTTAACTTTTTAAAATGCTTTTTTCCTGGTTAAAAAACACAAATTCTAACAGTCATTCCACAAGACTTTTACCACCAGGGTAGTCTGAACCCAGCCCTAGGTGAGGTTGTCAACAGCTGTGTCTCTCCAAATGGGTCTCAGAGCGAGGCCCCTGGGCTCGCCTGGAACACGTGTCCTGAGTACAGAACCCTGATGCATTTGCAGAGCTTTAAGCTCTTGCTCAGTTTTCCCCACAAGCAGTGCATTCTTTGTGTTTTCTAGATAAAGAAACCCAACACACAACAAGATCGCTTTCAATGTTAAAATTTCAGCGACTCTCAAATTCACCATGCGTTGCTTCCAAGTTCCTTTTTGGGGAGCTGAGATAAGTTTTAGCTCAACAGTTTTAATGCGATGGACTTAGCTGTCTTCCTTATCCCACGTGTTCAATAGAAGCAGGGAACAATACTGTCCCTTTGAGATGCTAGTAGCGTTTAAGTATCTTTTCAAAGACTGGTATAAATTCTCTGAGACGTTTTCTTTTAAAAGTATCCTTCCTGATTATATCTTTCTTATCCTCATTTAAATCATCCAGCTGAAATTGGGAAGGAAAAAACCATCCTATGTAAGTAAAGAAATCTACCACCCAGCTTGACAAAGTATTATTGGGTAAACAAGAGTAGACTTTTGTGATGAGTACTTAGGATTTATTATTAATTGTATATTTAAAATGCTTAATATTAAAAGCCTCCTCCTTTGAGCTGTTAAGAGTAAATCTTGCTGATCTAATTTCTCAAATATTTTGTATAAACACCATATTAAAGCAAATCCATGCCATAATTTCCTCCCAACTTAGATGAAATCACTTTATGAGGAAAGTCTCATAAAGAGACTTTTTGAGTCTAACTTTAAAAAATCCCGAATGACATTTTTATTGGTACCACATTAAATGTAACTGAGGCAGAACTAACATCTTTATGATGAAGAATCTCTATCCAGGAACATGGGCTTTCAATTTCTCTAGTTCTATTTTTGTATCTTGCAGTTGTATTTGAGCACTTCTTATATAAGTTTTGCAGATTTCTTGCTAAGTTTTTTCCTAAGTAGTTTCTGTTTTGGCTTGTTTTTTGCTAGTAAATAGGGTCTGTTCTCCATTATTTCTTCTAACTCGTTATTTGTACATATGAGAAATATTATTTCTATATTTAATCGAACATCCTCTACTTTACTAAATACTCTGTAGTTTCCCACAGATTCTTTTGGGTTTTGCAGATATATAATCATATCATCTACCTAAATAGTAATTGCTTTAGTCTTCCTTTCTAATTTTTAGGCCTCTTGCTTTTATCATTTGTTTTACTTTTTAGCCTAACTGTGTTGGATACAATACAATGTTAAATAATGGTGGATATACAGTCATACATCACTTAACAAGGATACTCTGAAAAGTGTGTCATTAGGAGATTTCATTGTGTGAACATCATAGAGTGAACTTACACAAACCTAGATGGTACAGCCTACTACACACTTAGGCCGTATGGTACTACGCTTATGGGACCACCATCATATATGTGGTCCATCATTGACTGAAACATTATGTGACACATGACTGAAGTGCCTCCTAATATTGTTTTTGACTAGAACGGAAGAACCTCTAGTAGTTTCCCAAGTGAGTAAGATGCTGGCTTTGGGAATATATGTGTACACACACACACACACACACACACACATCTTTTGAGAATTATTATCCATTCTCATTTAATTGTTTTTAATATGACTAATGAATTTTAGTCAAATGCCTTTCAGTATCTATAAAAATTATCATATAATTTTCCTTTTTAGCTCTATTAATATCATGAACTATATGAGGAGATTTCCTAATATTCAATCACCTTTGCATTCCTGGAGTAAACCTCTCTGAGTCACTGTTAACAGTCAGGGTAGGCTAGAATAAGCTGGAGTAATAAATGGCCTGCAATCTTAGGGACTTATAAAAGCTTATTTCTCCCTCATGCCACGTGTCCCCTTGTGGGTCGGCTGTAGCTCTGCTACACATCATCTTGATTCCAGAACCCAAGTCCTTGGAGTAGCGGCCACCTGGAATTTTACTGATCTTAGGGAAGGGACATGGTGAACCAAAGGCTGGCACTTAAAAGTTGTACTCAGAAGTCTTGCATGTCACTTCACTCACAACTAACTGGCCAAAACGAATCACACAGTCACACCTAAGTTCAACAAGGCAGGAACGTATAATCTTCCCATAGAGAAGACCACTGTAAGGGAGAGCACCAAAATATTTTGTGAAAAATAATACAATATACCGCTTACTATATGTCATTTGATTCAATTTGCTAATTTTTTTTTTTAAGGAAGATTGGCCCTGCACTAACATCTGTTGCCAATCTTCCTCTTTTTCTTTTTTCTCCCCAAAGCCCCAGTACATAGTTGTGTATCATAGTTGTAGAGCTGTAGCTCTTCTGTGTGGGACGCCACCTCAGCATGGCTTGATATGCAGTTGAGTAGGTCCATGCCCAGGATCCGAACTGGCAAACCCCGGGCTGCCAAAGTGGAACGTGAAAACTTAAGCGCTACGCCACTGGGCCAGCCCCGCTAATCTTTTATTTAGCATTTTGCAATGACATTCATAAGAAAGATTGGTCTATAGTTTCTTTCTCACTTTATAAAAATAATTTGGAAGTAAAAAATTACTTTCTTATTAAGTCTGGAAAGTGACTGACACTAACGTGGTAGCTAAATTTAAACGATAAGCATTATAGTTACGTGGAGGAAAAATAATTTCTGCCTTGAAGGCTTATTATTTAATAATGAAAGGCATTTAATATACCACATGTGATCTGTGATACATCCCTGTGTCTGAGAGGCATGTTTTTAATATTTTCATCTCCTGTTTTTCTACCCTGGATCATAAAATGCCACAGTTCTTCTGTACACGTTCCTGACAGTACTTTCAACTGAGCAATTCTGCAGAAGTCAGCTGAAAGGCAAGCCTGGACTATGTACTGGTTACTAAGGAGACAAGAATCTTCTTGTGGATGGAGCCCGAAGGTTTTCCTATCACCCTCCTGCCTCCTCCTTGACCCACCCGGTCATCAGGCCTCCTGTGTATACAGCGTCTTTTGCCCAAGCATCCCAACGAACGGTATAAACATTGCCTCACCTGTAAGACAGGCGATTGGTAAATATTTATTCGTATTTTTCATATGGACAAACTGAAAACACCAAATTGTCAAGTGGCCTAAGACTGCCTACCTTCAGAAAACCCTCTAGAGCTGCTATCTATTGAGCATTTCCCTGACCTTTCCACTATGCTGAGGACAGAGGCCACCATCTGTCAAGTTCTGGCTGTTTCCTGTATATGTAATTTATTTCGCTTCATCTTGCTGTATGCAACCTTACCAAAACTAGGAATAATAAAATCTTGTCTTACCAGATATTATTAAATTCCTGGATTGGTGAATGGGGATGGTTGGAGGAAAGAAAGGTAGGAGGAAGCCAGTTCTAGAAAAATGGGATAAATGACAGTGAAATTTGTGATTTATTTGAAAGTCGTACAGGTCTTGTCAGGACACATTCAGCACAGTCTCTTAAACCTCCATTAACGGTAGAATCATAGACTTACTCCAGAAACTATGATGGCCACAAGCTGCATGCAAAATGCTAACAGTATGGCCAACTTACCTTTCCAGGGCTTTCTTTTACTGTATCTTTAGCTAACCAATATACTGGCCAAATTGGATATCTTATTTCTGGGGGATAGCTCACATTTCCCCCTGCTGAGGCCTTTTTTTATGTTGTTCTTTCTACTTGCACTCTCCATGCAGCCTGTTGAATTTCTCCTAATGGGTTTCTCTCTATATACCATTTTAGCACCATTGCTTGAAACTCTCTTGGCACAGTAGAATAATCCTGTTCCTCTCCAGCCCCTCCTCGCCCACTCGGCACACTAGCTGGTCAACAACTGCAAGTGGTGACCGTGCCACATCTTTATAGAAGAGGCACATGGGAGTCATATTACCATTTGTTGGCTGTGATCTCTCTTCCGCGGTCTTTATAAATCTATACTTCTCACAATTCTAGTGAAGCCCCCTCTCCTGTCACTGGGCTGTCCTCTCTCTATTATGGAGTGAGCTGGGGGCATTGCTCCAACTCTGCTCATGGTGAAAAGTCGCCTTTTCCTGTGATTACACTGTGCACTATCCAGGATGTCTTCAAGGTAGTTAATGGGAGTCAATGGCTAATTCACAGTCATTACCACATATACAGGAAGAAGTGGGCTGCAAATACACATCATTGCTGTGCTTAAAGAAAAGAAAAGACGATGTCAACTGCAATGACCAGGTTCTGGCCTGCTCACAATCACCTATGAAGGCATTAATAAGTACACACGTGAAGTAAACTTAACTGGAAAAAATACCCAAGATGATGCCTTTCAAATGGAAATCAAGGATCTTTTCACTACATAATACTGTTTCCAGTTAGTTGGGTTAGAAAAGCCTCTTAATTAATTCAAATTCTACAGAAAAATTGTCACTTACTTCAGAAGAGATGGCCCACCCAGGCCCTAGTTTTCCATGATTTGGCCACAGCAAGGACAAAACGAGCCAACGCTGAAAGGAAGTTAAGAGTTGTCAGAGAACAGTCAGATAGGAAGCAACACACAGACTGACACGTGCACAACAGAACTATACGTAATTGTTAAAGAATAAAGCAGCACAAAACTGTGTGGACAGAGTTCTACCATTTACCTTAAAAGATTGTATAGATTGTAATATTTATCAATAAACACACTGGCAAAAGTGCTCTCAGGGAAAGAGAATTTTCACTGTGCAAGCTATTCAAAGAATATATATTTTTAAAGAAACAAACTCCAGAATAGAGAAACTTCCAACGATTGAAGGTCTCGTACCCTACTAGCATGTTGAAGCTTAATATTTTCTGAGAGGCTTCTCTCCAATGAAGAATGTAGGGAAAGAGCTCATGAATGTCCTTGATCGTAGGCAATTATAACTGCAGTAAGCCTAATACTAAGAGGGTTAAACGGCCTTTTCAAAGCAAAAGTACCAGATTTCTGGTTTTTTTCCCTCTGGTGCTCAGAGGGAAGGAAGATCTTCGGCTTCATAATACTATCTCCTTATAAGACTAATAAAACCTACAGGTATGAATCTCTAGTATGTGGTTCAGTTGTTTGGAAAGCAGAAGGATGAGGACCTGTTAGCTTTAAACTGACTTTCCTATGTTAGTTTACATATGCTTATGTACACATATAACTATTTTAAGCTTTCCAAATGTTTGGATTAAAGTAGTTATTTTGAAAATCTTCAATTGGGCAGACAGTCGGTAACTAAAACAGAAACAAGAAAATGAAACAACAAACAATGAAGCAAAACCAATGTTCCAAAGTGATTGAGAACTTCCACAAGCTACTTAACAACATGAACGCAGGTGGAGCAAGTGGCGTGTTCTTCCTCTGTGCTCTACTATTAACAATTGCAAACCTCCCCCGTGCTAGGAAAGCCTCGGTCTCCTTGATGGAGCTGAAAACTATGGGGAGGGTGTGGAGAGAGGAAACGAACAGAAAGAGATGAGAACTAGCAAAAGTCAACAAACATTTTATTACAAATACTGATTCCTTTTATTCTGTGCTTTGCTTTTATACAGAGAACTTTCAAATAAATTCTTATAAACTTAGAGTGAGTTTCTTTCTGATTAAATTAAAAAACCACAATAGTGTCCGTTGTGGTCAAATTAGAATTATACCAGAATTACCATATGCCAGCACATACAATCCCACTCCTGGTGGCTGGAAACCTGGCTCACAGCCATGGAGGGCACACGGTGATGAGGGAAGGCCGTGCTTGGACACAGCTGGGTCTTCCTGATCACCTTTAGTCCTTTTTGACTTCAGCAGCATTCTCCCCACTGAACTTGAACACAGGAATCTGCTGACCATCCTTGAGCTCTAAGACGACCTCCTGAAGGTGCCACCTGATAAAAGAAATCAAAAGAACGGAAACCAAAACTAAGCTCACAGATACACAGAACAGATGGGTGGTTGCCAGAGGTGGGGGTGGGAGAAATGATTTTGGTTTTTTTTAGTTTAAATAAATTAAATAAAAATATTAAAAAAAAAAAAAAACAAAAGGAGATTTGGGAAGTTAACAAATAATTGTAATTTAATATTCTTCCAAATAACCAATGAACCAAAGAAAAACTTACAAGGAAAAGTTTTAAATATTTGATGATGAATGCAAATGAGAACACAGGATACTAAAACCAACGAGATGCAGTGAAAGCAAGAAGCAGGAAGGAAATAATATAATGGAAATAAGTGAGAGAATAGAAAAACAAGAGAAATAATCAATGAATCAAAAGTTGTTTATAAATTAACAGACCATTAGCCAGACTGACCAAGAAAAAAAGAAAATATATTTAATTATTCAAATCAGTAAAAAAAACCAAGTATAGTCTCTAATCAAGGGAACACTGAGGCAAAAGACATGGTCAAAAAGGAAAAAAAGCAGTTGTTTGGAATAATGTCTTAAAATGTCTTAAACACTATTTTATGTTAGAGCTATGTTAACATAACATTTCAACATTTTATTATGGGCACTTATTACTTAACCAGCATCACTGTTATGGCAAGTTTAACAATGAAGGAGTGACAGCGAAGGGAAGGGGCATCAGGAAAGAGAAGGAGCAGTTTACTCCCCATGTCAGAAGGCACATCGTCCTTCAATTCCCGGCTGGACCCTGGCCAGCTCCTCCACTAATCCCAGGCTCAGGGGTCAACGAGCCCCGGAGAAGCCAGGGGGCGCTGCCTAGAGCTGTCTGCTCCTTGTGTCCTCAGGAACTAAAACAAATCCCGGCTAAACAGCAAACATCTCTGAGAGAGGCTTCCCGTGGGGGAAGTGTAGCTATTGGCAACCAGACAAGAAAGGCCAATTAACAGGGTGGAGAGCTCATATAAAGAATGTGATGAATAATGCTGGAACAGAAACCCATGCCTTCATTCATTTGTAACGACTGAGGCAGTAGTGTTAGAAGCTGTAACATACCATCAAATTATCATAGACCTGGATCACTATAACTGTAAAGTTCTTCAAATTCAGCAGCATAAGGAGAGGATGATTCAGCAGATTGCATCGGACAAAATGTCTGGACTGAGCTAAGAGCCAAAGCACTGGCTTGGTGCCCAGGCCATGAAACTTTTCAATCTTTGAAAAACTAATTCTTGTTACCACAATCATATAACTACAGATGAAAATGGGAATTAGGACAGTTTCCATCAGAAGGTTCTCCTCCTGTCCCCCCAATCCCACCCACCTTCCCATAATACCTCTTAAAGGGGGCATCTCTGGATGAGCTGACATAGAGATGGCCCTCTGACTTGGATCCAGAAACAGGAATCTTCAACTGGGAGTGTAAAATGAGAGATATAATTGGACGTGGTGTTGTCCTCTCAAGAGACGACAAAACAATGCTCTCTAGAGCTAACCTCATAAAATCCAGTGATTATCCACAGAATCTGGTTGTTTTCTAACTTAAGCCTTGCTGGAGAATTCACCTAATTTTTCCATCTGTCTTCTTCCCAATGTCCTGCCCTTCTGTGGATGGTTTGAGGAGGTCAATGGCAGTCCTCCTATTTGCCAATGAGAACTTTTATGCACCAAACTCAATGCCCTTGGTATTTACAGTGATTATTCAAAAATCCTCTGTTAAAAACAAACTACTGATATATGCAACAACATGGACAAATTATCAAAAACATGCTGAGTGAAGGAGACTTACCCAAGAGTATATAATGCATGATTCCATGTTCTAGAACAGGCTAAACTACGCTGGAAAAAAATATCAGAAAAGCGATTGCCTCTGGAGGGGCTGGGGGATTGAGTGGACCAACTGGGAACACCATGAGGGGACTCCAGGGTGATGGGAACAGTCCCCATCTAGACAGGGGCTTCAGTTACACAGGTGGATGCCTTTTGTAAAATTCATCAGCATACGGATATTTGAAAATAATAAGATGGGGGGCCAGCCCGGTGGTACAGTGGTTAAGTTCGTGCACTCAGCTTTGGCAGCCCGCGGTTCCTGGGTTTGGATCCTCGGTGCAGACCTGCGCACCGCTCACCAAGCCATGCTGTGGTGGCATTCCATATACAAAATAGAGAAAGACTGGCATGGATGTTAGCTCAGGGCTAATCTTCCTCACCAAAAAAGAAAGAAAATAATAAGATGGGCTCATGTAGAGATATGGCTAGACGAACAGGTAAGGAATAAAGCCAACTGAACAAAATATTAATTGTAGAATCCAGGTAGCAGCTATATGGGTACCACAGCATCAATTCTTTTATCTTTTCTGTATGTTTGAAACTTTCCATAATAAAATAGAAAAAAAAAGACAACAAAAACAAGGCCATTGTTTAAAATGGGGAACTATTACCAGCAAATTGGTAAATACTTTGATCCGGACTATAAAGAACAGGCTTTAAGGAAAGCACATGAAGGCTCATTTGGGAAAGATGACGAGTTCTTGGTTAGTTCTTCGTCACCAGTCACCGCAGACTGGGCTCATTCCCTGCGGGGCATGCTGCCAGATGCTGCCATGCCCTGAGCCAGGGGACGCAGCCTTGGAGCCTCAGAGGGAGCTGCTGTTTGCTCATGCTCCTATTTAGAAAAATACTGAATGCAGTATTTTTGGTTTCTGAGTGAAAACTAAAGACAGTTTGAGCCTCGTGAAGGAGACACAATGTGGTAACCAGGAAGCCCGTCCTCAGGCACCTCCCAGGGTGCCCTCCTATGACACAGGTGACGGCCAAAGTACTTCCATGGGCTGAGATGGCATATTTCACCCACTCCAAATTGCCACCTAGAGAAAACACCGCTTTGGTACACACACATTTGTGTTTTCCAAAATTCTCTCTCTCTTTCATTTATTTAAATGCACTTTAAAGAAGACACAGGCTTTGGGATGGTGGCTCATACCCCGAGTGGACGCGTAGTCACCTAGTCACTGAAACAACACTTCAGAGTTCCACTTTTGGAATCAAGCTATAGCTCTTCTCAGGGGATTATAAAATTAAGCAACAGAGCACACATTGAGCATCTCTGCATGCTAAAAGAAAACCAAAAAAAAAGGGGAAGGAAAGGGCAGAAGTAAGTAGGGTTCTGAAGAAGAGCAAACATCCTGGGGTCAATGTCTGAACTCGGGGCAGCTGCCCCTCTGTGAGTGGAAGAGGCATTTCACAGGCCAGACGGGGCTGAAGGATAAAGCAGGAGTGCCTGGGACCAAAGTCTTGGTGGTTAGTGACTATCTCACACACACACTTGGAAAGAAACCCTTCAACATGACAGCTGCCTCATGAACAACCGAATCTTCTCACCTCTGCATCAAACAAAGAACTACAAACAGGTGACTTTGGGATAAGACGGCATGTGTTGTATACAGGCATCCTTACAACAAGCTTATCATAAAGGAAGGAAGGAAGGGAATAACCTGGCAGAATATCAAACATACTCCTTACACTGGAAGACCAAGGGCTGGGGCAGCAGGTGGCTCTGGGGCAGCAGACCGTGAACTCCTGCCACTGTGGAGTCACAGTGTTTGGCAGCAGCAGAGGCCCAGACCCAGCGCCACAGCCAACACCGTCACGGTGCTGCCAGGGGCCCTGGGCTGCAGGGAAGCCCAGGAAGAAGGCCCCTCCGCACCAGCTGGCATGTGCTAGAAGACTGGGCCAAAGTGAAAGTTGGACCTGCCCAGAGGAGGTTCCCCACCAAAACCACTATGGCGTCAGCCATTCATGGGGGTACCAGATCAAGGAACGGATGCTGCATCAACCTGCCCTTAGCAAAGGCAGCTGCAGTTTTCCTGAGCACCGAGGCCAGGCCCCGTGCTCTGTGCTGGGAGACAGTGAACAACCAGACCCAATCCCTGGCCTTTCCAAGTTCTCATGCTCTCGGGGATCCAGCCAGGTGACCAGAGATGGGGAAATAGAGAGGAGCCACCACACTGTGAGGGATTTGGTGACCATGCACATAATGCCATGTGGTGCTGAGTGGGCACTAAATACATGTCTTCCCTTTTCTCCTCCTGGGCTCCTCTCACTCAATGGCACTGCCATCTTTCCACTCACTCATGTCAGACATTAGAGTGTCACCTTTGACCCACCCACTCCTGATATAAAACTGTTACCAAGTCCTATCACCTGGCCACAGTATCTGTCACCTGGCCACCACGACAGCCTCCACAGCCATTTCTCATTTCTCCAGGTCACAGCACTGGTTCATGCTCTCACCACTGCACACCTGCATGGCCACACTGCTCTCCTAAAGGGGGTTCCCTGCATCCAGTCCCTGGCAATTGCCAATCTTCGTGAATTTACCTTCTTTCAAAACCAGATCGAATATTTTTATCAGAATACTTGAGCATGATTGCTTTTGTAGTTAGAAAAAAATCCCAATAAAACTATTTCCATTAAAATAATAAAAACAACAATAGCAAAAAATAAACTAGGTCAGATCATCTCACTCTTATCCTCAAAATACTTTAGGGCTTCTGCTGGCCACAGACTCAAGTGTGCTCACCTCACATGATAATGTCACGGCCTCTAGGTGCTCCAGCCCATGCTACCTGCCCACACCCTCAGGTCCCTCAGCAGCCTGCACCTCTGCTGAGGTCACACTGGCATGGAACACAGCGAGGTGCCTTCATATGCACGCTGCAGCTCAGCTTGGCACTCCTTTTCTTCACGGCAATCTCCCAGTCTGCTCCCCGCTCCCTCCTGGGCCTCTACTATGGCATTTGCTTCACCCTCTCTTATTCAGGAGTTTTAACCTGTCAACTCCTTGAAAGACTTCTCCACCTCTGCATTCCCCACACAGCTTAGAATCCTTCCTCTAACTCAGCACGTACTCAAAATGTATTTGTTAAACTGAAGAACAAATGAATTTTGTACTCAGGTGAGTTTTATCAGCTGAACTATAAAAGAAGGTAAGATACAACGATAAAATGGACTGGCATTTCATGGAAGCAATGTAAATAAATAAGCTTTATAACTAGAGTTCAAAGAGTTGTTTACATTTGAATGAGCATTGACTGACTGTAGATGTATTTCACGTTCAAAGTGGAAGTGGAGGCAAACTACCACTGGTCATTCCTCTACGACCGTCAGTTCAACATGGTGACCTGAGCACAAACACTGCATTCGCTCCACATTGAGTCTCCGGAAAGAAAGAAAACTATATGACAATAAATTAATCCATAGTGTTTTTTAAAAAGGTGCTAATACCTAGTAGCAGTTTTACACTGTGGATTTTCCCATCCCAAATCCTCACTCCAGCCTCCTCCATGACTCTCTCCAGATTATGGCAGCCCCCTCCTCGACTTCAATAGGCACCTAGCCTGCAGTTCGCCGGGCGAGCACGTTACCTGGGCATCAGCAATGTCCACGAAGTTGTACTTGTCGGTGAGGTGGAGATAGTGAACGTTGAGGGGGCTGCCCAGAGCTTCCAGGGCCTCGGGGCGGCTACGCAGCTGCTCCAGTGCCAGCTGGTAATAGGAAGCCCTGGAAAAAGCCTCTAGGTGGGAAAGATAGTTGTTACATTTCTTTATTGCACTTGGTCAGGTAGACTGTGTAGAAAGGTAAATGATACAATTCACATACAGCGCGGAAACAAACCAATGTGAAATTTACAGGTGGAAGAATAATTAGGAACCATCTACTCTAAACTAGCCATTTTAGAGACTCCAAAACCAAAGTATTGAAAGTCAGTATCTGTGGGGATGTGGCAGATGATCCTGGACAAGCTACTTGACCTTTCTGTGCCTCCACTTCTTCGTCTCTCATTTCCTCACCTTATTCATTGCCTCATTTCTTCATCTAAGGGGTCTGATTAGATCTTCTCTAACTTTGCTTAAGGTTCTAAAGTCCTATGATTCTGTGGAAATTAATAAACAGAAATCTCATTAGAATGAAGTCAGAAGGCCAAAAGGGGGAGCTTTCCTGACCTGACTTGGTAGCAGAGAGGAACAGGAAGAAGGAGGACTTCTCTTCTTGATGGGCAAGAAGCTCAGCCAATGAGAGACTGTCACAGCTCAGCCCATGAGAGACTGTCACAACTCAGCCAATGAGAGACTGTCACAGCTCAGCCAATGAGAGACTGTCACAGCTCAGCCCATGAGAAGTCTGCACTCCCAGTCTCCTCCAATAGACTCTGTTTACACTAGCCCTCCCAACTTCCTCTCCCCTATAAAAGAGTTTCTCTTCCCCTTGCTGCTCAGGACTTGCATGTGGCTTGCCATGGTTGCAGACCCCTAATTGCAATTCTTTGCTGATCCCAAATAAACCCAATTCTGCTGGAGAAATAACTGGCTATTTTTTGAAGGTCAACAATTCCATGACTCGCTCAAAGTGACACAGCTAGTCCGCGGCAGAGCTGGGGTCTGAACCTATGACTCTTGACTTCTAAATGTTGCTCCTTCCACTAAGATGAAGGTCCTAATAAACCAGCATAAAACAGACCACAACATCAACGCCACCACCACCCTTGGGCCAAGAAACAGGACATAAAGATGGTAATTTGTCAAGTTTACAGATTTAAGCCACATTTCACGTTAATAAATCTTATAAACTACTCTCAGTTTCAGGTACCCTCCTGGTCCAATGGCTACTAGGAACTCCAGGAAGCACCTCCCTGAAGGTGTAAGGTACGACAAGCTGCCCTAGAAAGAGAGCAAAAGTAGACTTCCCAAGTGGAGTTTTCAGTCCGACAACAAGAGCTGCTCTCCCAGGTCCAATCACAGTAATGGAAGGGAAAGGCGGCTTGAGCCTGGAGGGGACAAGGAGAACGCCCCTCCTGTGCTGCTTCCCAGGAGTGGGGCAGCAGGGGATTCTGCAGGCGTGAAGGAGATGCCAGCCATGACAGGAAAAGGAGAAGCAGATGCTGGGTCCAGACAGCTAATCTTTTTTTTTTTTGGTGAGGAAGATCAGCCCTGAGCTAACATCTGCCAATCCTCTTCTGTTTTTTTTTGCTGAGGAAGACTGGCCCTGGGCTAACATCCATGCCCACCTTCCTCCACTTTATATGGGACACCGCCACAGCATGGCCTGACAAGCAGTGCGTTGGTGCGTGCCCAGGATCCAAAGCCCAGGCTGCTGCAGCGGAGTGTGAGCACTTAACCACTACGCCACCGGGCCCGCCCCCAGACAGCTAATCTTTATTGATTTCCATGGCTAGACATGGTTCTCAGTATTTCATATACATCACAATTCTCAATATCTCACATGTAGTGAGATTTATTTAATTTTCACAACAACTTTATGCATAGGCACTAACATTACCCCTCATCACACAGATAAGGCAACTGAGGCCCAGGAAGGTAAGGGACTCCCCGACAAGGCCACACAGTTCATCAGGAGCTGGAGCTGGGACTCAGTGCAGATGGGGGCTGCAGAGCCGAAGGGAAAAGGCTGTCGGTGCCCTGACCCGTAAAACGCACCCATTCCTGTCGTGTCCTGCCTCTGACCCTCTGGCAGAGGGGAGAGGAGGCTGAGCTATTCCAGTCTGAATTATCCCTGGGAATACTCTTCTTGGGCCACCTCTAGACCCAGGGACCTCTGGGCCAACTCTGAAGGAAGGTGGGGAAGAATAGGCGGCGAGGACACAGTGCTCTGTTTGCCTGTCTGCTCGTGAAACGTCCTGGCAGGAAGTGAAAATGCTGCAGTCAGGGTGAGGAGCCAAGCTGGGCGGGCATAAAGGAGCTTCAAAGAAGTCAGTCTAGAAAAAACTGCTGCCGCTTCGCAACCAGTAGCATTGAAATGACCTTAAATGTCTTGGCTGCTCACAATAATTGTGGCCTGTCTTTATAAATTCAAATTTGGGTACAGTGGGGCTGGAAGCAGCATCTGTCAGGATTTTGCCATCCTGGACTCTGCTTTTATTTTCTGCTCTCGCCAGAGTCCCTTGCTCAAGCTCTCTCCTCCACTAAATCAATAGGAGAGAATGGCAGGGCAAACACGCTGACGACACTTGAGAAACAGCCAGTGTTCCCCACCTGGGAACCATCTGGTGTCCCCCTTCCCTCTGTTCCTCACGTAATCTCAGAAATCTTGACGGATCTCCCGTGTGTGACTAGAGTGAAAGCCCATCTTGCTTTCTGCAACGCCTCTTATGCAAATGAATGCTGGTCCTTTTACTCACACTTGTGGCTCCTGGAAACACTGGGCTTATAGAATAAGAAGGGAGCTACAGCCAATGGAATGGTGTACTGGCTTCTCAATATAGCCCTCTCCTCCTTTGTCCAATCTGCTGAAAGCATCTGAAGTATTTCTTTTGATGGAGGGACAGGGGCAAGAGAAGCAGGAGGCCATGCCTCAGGTGGGTGGCTGGATACTTACTCTGTATAAGGTAATATACCAGGGTGCAGCTCCCGCCAGCCATCACGCTGGTAAAAAGGACCAGTTTCCCCAGAGGCATTGACATCCTGCTTCCTGGAGACTTAAAAACAAAAGATGCAAATTTCTCGTTAGATTCAGGTTTGTGCCAAGGGACTTTGCCTGGATTGGGTCCCACAGGGAAAGGAAAGCTAAGGAGGAAGCTAGCAAGTAGGTGAGGCCACCTTCTCTCGTTTGCTTCCTTTCAGAACGCCAGGGCCAGTTCTGGAGCCAAAGCAAAAGTGCCCTCGTGAGGGTGGCCCGCAGCCAGGACCCAGGCCATGGGGGCGACGGCGGAGCACAGAGGAAGCATTCAGCCCTGCTGTCCTGACAGACAGAACCCAGCCTGTGTGCCAAGTCGCTCACTGCCAGGAAGCACAACCACTTTGTCTCAGCCTGGCTGGTAAACAGGAAGCTTATCCTTTTGCAGCAATAGCTGGTCTTGTAGGCCTACGAATGGGCCGGAGTGGTCACTGGCTGCTTTCTTTCATATTTTGAAAAATGTCCCACCCCCTGGATAAGGAAACTGGTCACGACTTTCAGGCTGAATGAACAGATGGAGAGAAGCCAGCTCAGCAAAGTCAGCACACCCATACCCATCCTGGCCTTAACTCCTGTCCCCTGAAGACCCGGGTGGGGCTAGGAGCAGCATGTGGGCCTCGAAGGAGCCAATTATCCTCCTTCCTGGTGGCCATTTAACCACTGCTCACACGCGGCCTGGGCCTTTCTGGAAGGCTGTAAGATACTCAGCCATAAAACAGCGTAGGACAGTGGCTTAGATCAGAGGTCACAATTCAAATGCCCAGAGGGCCAGACAAGTCACATAAATGAAAGCACACATTGAAAAGTGAGGAACACAGCCCAGCCAAGGGGCAGCTTCGACCTGGCTCCAGCTAACTGCAGCCATGTGGGCCAAGTCTGGACAAATCTTCCAGTTTTTCAAGAGGTCTTTTATGTGAAGTTGCCCAAATTCTAAACGTTGACAACCAATTAAAAAAAAAAACTAACAAAATACAGTTGTCAGTCAGAGTCTTTCTGTGGGCTTCTAGTTTGCTCTGACCACCTAAGCTGCATCAGGGCATCCTCACCAGAGGTGAGATTTAGGTAAATTCCTCTTTGTCTGTCTTTCCTGATATTTTTCCAAAAAGAAATGAGATTTTGGGCAGAGATGGAAATTCCAGCTTAAGATAAATGAAAAGATGACTGTAAGTGTTTATGTCCCCACTTGAAGATTTAACCCTAGATTTTATGTGCGTCTTTAGAAAACAAGGCCTTTTATGTGACCTAAAGGGGTCCGAGGCACTGCAGTGCAGAAGAACTAGGTATAATGCTAGTTCCTCCACTGGCAGATCTGTGAGTCCAGGTAAACACATTCTCACAATTTGCTTCCCTGCCTTCTAGAATATGGAGAGTAACAACAACTGTCCACCTATCATTTCTGAAACCTGAAGGTAAATGAATCCATAAGAAGGCCTGTTGGAGAAAGTTCCTCATGTGGATATTCTTTCTGGGAACTGATAATTAAACACGTCCTTGGACAGCGCTAAAGTTGATCAGTTCTATACTGAAATAACATTGAATCCAGATTTATGTATATAAAGGGTTTTCATCAACTTATCAAACTAGGGAGGGTGAACTTTTAGACCACTGTACTATTTACTTATATACTGTTTTGTCCAACTAAGAAAAGGCTGCTGAAACCCCAGGTCAATATACTGAATTTGCTGTGAAAGTTTCGGCTGGTGCTGTATAGCATGTAAGAGTATTTATCAAAGTTGAGTGTAAAGTCAATTACAGTAATGTGGGAAAAGCCATTTAGTCTCATAATGAAAATGGTCAGAGCATCTCCAAAGAATGCATTAGTCAGATCTCGCTCACTGTGAAGAAGAGCTCCGCAGGGTGGGGCAGCGAGCATGAGTTATGCTGAGCTTCCCACAAGGCTGTAGTTTCTAAAGCCAGCATCAAGACACAAGCGAAAAAGCATTCTGAACAACAAACGCAGAGAACAGCCCCCAGCCCTCATGTGAAGTCACAGCACAAGTGAACACTGAAGGCCAGGAGAAACCCACCACCAGTCAGGGAGCGACTTTCACCTACTGTCCAACCTGAGGATACCCTCATGGGTTCTAACGGGGAACTTGGTTCCCTAATAGTCATTACCTTTTGCCACTTTGTAGCACAGCTTTCTTGAAAATCAAAGGAAAGTTGTGCTGCAATTAGATAAAGATTTTACATTAAAATCACTTTTTCAAACCCAATTCCCTCTGGTTTCTAGTTTTATATAGCCGAGATGTATTACCAATCCAAGCTTCAGAACATGAACAAGAAGTTAAGTATAAACTCTAAAACTAGCCTCCTCTGTAAAAGGCCTTGGTTTTTCCCCCTTTCTCATCAGCCATATTAAGAAGAAAAAACACAGCCTCCTGGTTTCCTGTCTGTACAGTGTATCTTTTATTGCAGCAACCAGAAAACTCTGTGGGCGGGGGCGGGCGCAGGTGTGTGACTGCAGTGCACACAATCAGGGGCCTCCAGCAGCCCTCCCACACAAGATGCTCTCAATACAAGCTGTACACCATGGATTAAACCAGCTTCTCAGGGTTAAAAAGAAACAATAGTGTACTAAATGTAGACATAGCCTTTAATAATACTGACAATAATAGAGAACACTTATATCTCTATGATATGCCTGGTAATATTCTAAGCACCGTACATATAATAATTCATTTAATTCTCACAACAACCCCATGAAGGAGGAACTATTGTTATCATCCCCATTTTACAGATGAGTAAACTGAGGCACAGAGAGGTTAAGTAAAGTGCCCGAAGTCACACAAAGAAACGCATAAGTAGTAGAACTGGGATTGAGACCCAGGCAGTCTAGCTCCGGGGTCTGTGCTCTCAACCACCATGATACACTGACTTGAAGATATCTGCTGATTTCATAAATACTGAAATGTGAAAAAAAAATGTCTCTGAATTACAATATATTCATCATGTTCAGTGCAACAGGCCTTGTCAGGTATGCCTTCCCTGCTATTTCTCCAGACAAGAGCATGGCATGTATTTGTTCTTTGATTCTTTCTTTTGCCTAGCAAATGATTGCTGAGGGCCTGCTCTGGTCAGACAAACAGTGCTGAGGAGAATGCAGACAATTCACAATAATTACAACACAGAGAGAGCCATGGAGCACAACTGTTGGGCAGTTGAGCATGGCACAGCCCTAGCAGGGTGCCACTCACAGGGTAAATGTCCTAGACCTGTATATTTATTAAGACCATTTTCCAACAGTTGTGTTACCTGGCCCACCAACCCCATAACACATTAACCACAACCCTGCTCAGAACAAGCCTAACACATTCTCTTCAGCTTACAGGAAACCACAAAGAGAGGAAGGAGGAGACGGCTGAGACATATAGTCAAAACCAGTTAAAACTGGTTGAAGGCAACATGGCAGTCTAACTTGACCTGACATAGACTCCACAGCTCATTATAAGCTCATTGTAATACATTATCACATTATGGAACATACCCACTGACACCATGACAGTTTACAACTGCCATGGCAATGGCAGGATATAACCACATATGGAAAGAAAAGAGGTGGCACTCCTATTCCCCCCAAAAGCCTGCCCAGTTCCCCAAATACCCATGAATATGCCCCCCCTTCTTGACTCCTTATAACATCTACTGAATTGCCCGAAGAGCTGAGAAGTTGATTTGTGAACTTTGTTCCCACTTCTCCATCCTTTGGCCATTGAATAAAGCTTGTGCTACTGAATGGTCAGCTTCGGTCTCATTTCAAAGTTGTAACACCAAACAGAGGAAGAACCCCAAGAGGAAGGGCAAGAGACCTTTCCTTGGGTCTCTCCTGGTTGGGGAGAGAGTTCAACTCGTAACAGATGGACGTTCTATAAAGTGTCTTGAAGAAGGAGTGGGGGCTTTTTCTAATTTGCACAAAGGTGCCTATGGGCAAGCAGCAGCCTAGTTAGTGCAACCAGACCCAGACGTGTACACCAGGAGAGGAAGTAACACCCAGGAAGTGGTCAGCCCTGCCTGGAGGGGATCAGCAGAGGTTTCACAGAGGAAATTGACTCTAAGCAGAGAAAGGTGAAGGAGTGGGAGAAGGGCTTCAGACCTGTGGAAATGGCAAGCTATGGCAGAGAGGCAGAAACAAGAGCTGCAGAAGTATAGGGAGCAGGAGTAGAGCCACAGGACAGCAGTCTGGAAATGGAGGTAGTTACTGCTAAGAAAGGCCATCTACCCTGAGCTGCAGGGCTCTACTCTGCAGCTGAGGGGCTGCAGAAAGATCTCTCTAGGACAGAGAGGTGGGCAGATGGGGAGGAGAGGTGGTACAGCAGAACCAGCCAGAGACTCCTGCAGCAGATAGCAGAGAGAAGAGCTAAGACCGAGGTAGTAAGAATGGATCAAAAGGATGGTTTCTTAAAATATTTAGAATAGTTCTTATTTATTTCCTAATTTGTGCAGCAGCTCATTCTAAAAAGGATGATGGGGCTAACAAGGATACACACTTTAGAAGAGAAGAAAATAAATGGATGAGGAAAGGAAGACAAATGGAAAATAATTTTAAGAAGAGAAATACAGCTGGGGTGAAGTTAGTGCACAAAACTACACACTCTCATGCACTAGATACTTCCTGGAGGTGGCCACAGATTTGACACTGAGCTTCCCATCTGCTCAGTAGAAAGGGAAGCCTGAGCAGCTACAAGGTCCAGAGTGTCCATGAGGTAATGTGAATCAGCAGCTGAGGAGGAAAACAACATTTCCTAATAACATATGAGGCCCGAGAAAGATATCCCCCATGCATGCTCAGAAAGGGGCTCTCAGAAGTGGCTGGTGTTGCAGACAACATCCCTAGTATTGGGGTACGACTATTTTTATAGTATAAAATATGTATAGTATTTTATACATACATACATAGTATACAGCATGACTATTTTTATAACATCCCATAACAAAAGCCACAATCACAGTCCAAGAAAAAACATAAACAGAATTTTACAAGTGTACAAAACAGTAAGGACTCGGTGGGACTCTCTGATGGGCCACCTTGACTCAGTGGAGAGATAAGGCAATCACGACCCACCTCGTCTCCAGGGAGCCACTCCCTACATCAAAGAAGGGCAAGGGGTTTGAGAGTAGAGGGCATAAAAGGAGGCTCAGCCCCTGCCCCTTTTTAACCAGCCTCAGTTGACCTGCACCATCAGCTGTCTTTTGAAGAGAGTGTTCAGTAGCCCCTCAACCTCACAAACACGCGCGCGCGCACACACACACACACACACACACACACACACACAAATCAAAAAAGCACTGTTGAGGGCTGGCCCCGTGGCTTAGCGGTTAAGTGCGCGCGCTCCGCTACTGGCAGCCCAGGTTCGGATCCTGGGCGCGGACGGATGAACCGCTTCTCCAGCCATGCTGAGGCCGCGTCCCACATACAGCAACTAGAAGGACGTGCAACTATGACATACAACTATCCACCGGGGCTTTGGGGAAAAAAAAAAAGGAGGAGGATTGGCAGTGGATGTGAGCTCAGAGCCGGTCTTCCTCAGCAAAAAGAGGAGGATTAGCATGGAGGTTAGCTCAGGGCTGATCTTCCTCATAAAAAATAAATAAATAAATAAAACTGTTAAAAAAAAAAGTAAAAGTTTAAAAAAAAAAAAAAAAAGCAGCACTGTAGAGAACTAGAGATAGGTTTTAGGCTACCTCCAGGAACGCTACATTTTAAAACTAAGCTTCCAATAAGAACTGACATATTTAAAATTTGATGTGAAAATCTGCAAGAAACTCAAATTCAATTAGTCTACTACGCAGCCAGTTAAGGGAAGATCTTTTTGCTTTACAGTCAACCAAGAGGAAAGGGTTGAGACCTATTTCGAAAATGAAGGGGCTGGTTAACCGCGGGAAGTCGGGGTGGGGAACGAAGTTCAGGCAAGGCCTCTCCAGAAAGCAGTCCTGTAGCTCTGCTCTGACACACAAAGGGTGACTTAGGCCCTCAAAGGCCAATGGTTTACAAACTTTTTTCAAAGTACTGAACCTCCTTCTAGAGCCAAAGTGCAATCTGTTAAACAGATGCTCTGAAGCAGCCAGAGGGTTCCAGCCACAGGCAGGAGCTGACCAGGGAAGGTGGGAGCAGTCAGGCGGTGCAATCTCAACTTTGCTGCACATTAGAATCACCTAAAGAGTTTAAAAAAGAAACCATGTGTCCAGGCCACATTCCAGATAGATTAAAACAGAATCTATCGGGGTGGGATCCAGGCAATGGTGTTTTTTAACCTCCTCAGGTGATCCTAACATGCAGCCAAGCTTAGGAACCAGCGGTCTATGGGAACAAAGCACAGAAAGTCAGCACATGGCCTGAGTTTCGAAGGCTGGTCAGGTGGTCCTTGAGGGGCTCCTGGGAAACTAGAGAATAGAAACAGCTATTCCCCTATCCATGCCACACATGCTACCTCCCCAGCACATCTTGAGACATATAGAGCATGTGGCAATAAATGGAACAGACTCCCCTTCCCAGGGATTCTGGCACTAGACAAGAGACAGACTACCCTCGGGACCGGGTCAGATGGTAGAAGCCTCAAGTAGAGGTTTGCCAGGTCTTAAGATAAAATTCCTGAGCTTAATAAGAGGTGTGCTCAGGAGACTGCCACAGCAAGACAATCACCCCAAAACCCAGCACAGAAAGATGGACCGAACTACAGACAAAAATCCTTGATTTTTAAGAGGCATTTTTCTCACACTGTAATATTTCTGAAATTGGGCTATGTCTTACAAGCTGAGGCTATTTATTAAAGTGATTCTTTCCTCTATACTACCACCTCCAAACTGTTAAAACTGTGATTCATCTTAATATGCTAGAAGCGGGCATTACAAGCAGCTGAAGTAGGAGCACGGCCAGAAGCCTGTCCATGAACCCAGGACCATGTGAACTTCCAGGCAGGTCTGTCAATACCCCATGGTTCTTCTCTTGCTCTGGGCCTTGTTAGGGCAGACTCGCTCCAGACATAATCTACCCAATTGCTTCATTTCCTCTGGGTGACACATGGCTGGCTTGGCTTGTCCCACATCTGAGTGACGACTATGGGCCAGGTACAATGCAGGGTATTTTATAGGCACTACTACTATTTCTTATAATAACTGAAAGGTAGATATTACTTTTGCCTTTTTAGAGCTAGCAAAAAAGCCTCAAGAAAGGTTCTGAAACTTGCTCATGGTCACACAGCTATACCACAGCAGAGCTATTGTACGCACCTGTCTGACCCCAGGGGCCACGGTCTTTCCACTGAGTGACAAAATCCATGTTACAGACACGGATTCCAGAACAATCAGCTTCTCATACAGGTGGTATATGCTGTCCAAAAGCCCCTCTACAAGTTCACATGTGCCATCTACAGGAAGCTACTCTCCACTACTCTGTGAAATAGTTTTAATCAATATATCCCCAAGTTATAACTTTAGAGGTCAAGACAAAACGAAGAGATATAAAATCTACTTAGAGACTACTAGGAGGAGAAGGAGAGAAGAGATCTTTCCTGTTTGTTGAATGATACCACCCACTGCTACTACCGCCCTGAGGACTACACATCCTTCCAGCCTTTATAAAATCTAACAAAGATGGGGAGGGGAGGGGAGGGAATCGTGCTTAAGAAAATAGACGTGAAAAAATTAAGGAAGTAAGAATTAAAATTAGAATGAAAGAATGATAAGGTACAAAAAAACCAAAAAGACCCAAAATAGAGAAAAAATTTAGAATTTAAGGAAAAAAGTATGAATGGCAAAATAAAAAAATAAAAGAGGCTAAACTTTAAAAGAATGAAATGCATTATATCTGAGATAAAAGAGCCAAAAAGGCTAATATCAAAAAACAAAAGATAAAAGCATGTAAGTAAATATGACAAAAGATTAAGAAAAAATTAAAAGAACTTAAATGGAGAGGCGGAGTCAAGATGGCGGCGTAGGCAGACTCTGAACTCACCTCCTCCCGCGGACACAGCCAATTTACAACTACTCGTGGAAAAATTACCCCTGAGACAGAACTGAAAACTGGATGAGAGGAACTCC